TTACAGAAAGCTTTTCAGTACACATCCTGGTATCTGGAGGCACAGGGGGTGAACCCTATAACAGGGGTCCTCCCCACAAACCAAATGGTGTATTCAGATGGGGGCACGTGCACACCGGACATGCCCAAGGTTGGTGCACACGTTCCTTTTTGATTTGTTTGAATTACAGGAGGACAATGCCGAGTACTGGACAGTTCTGATTGTATAGATATCCCTGTGTAATCCTGGAGATAGAGTGCTTCCAAGAACCAGCACACCTCAATTCAGGCAGTTCAGGTGGTGGGAGCCATTCTGTGTAACATCTAAGGACACATGAAAGTGAACTCAAGGCTCTGCTCCTCATTGCTTCAGACACTGCAACGAGGAGCAAATTAGGACCTGATAGTAGAGACGATCAGATTATACCACCAGAGTTGTACTTTGCTCTCCCTAAAAGTGGAAGCTTAACTTATTTGTGACTTTTAGCTCATATATTAAGGTCCTTCACATGAAATTATTTCATTCTTTGATGCCTATTGAAAATTGGATCTAACATTTGCAAGGCATATTTCATATCGTTTAGGCAGAACTCCATGTGTAAACCATCTATGCACAGAACCAGTTATCCATAATATTTGGACATTTTATATGGACTGTGTTTCATATACGTACAGACTGTGACATATCTTTATTACATTTTTTTTTTTACAGTTTAACAGCTGAGAATTTAGTTATTATCCTTGCTTTTTTTGTGTGTATTATACTTTGTTAAATTTTAAGTGCAGCTTACTTATTTTTATTCGGTTTTATTATTAGATAGTGTGTATCCCAGTAGGGGATTGCTCTGGGCCTGTGACACCCTGTGAGTGTGGAAGTTTACTTGTGTCTGGGCCTGTAAGGGTTCAAACTATCTGGGCAACAGAAAGTAACCTGTGTATGTGAGGGGTATCCCAGAGCACTGGCTGTTAGAAGGTGGTTGTCATGCTCTAGGGGCACTGCCTTGTGGCCAAGAGATAGCACCCTTGGGCTTTGTGGCTGGCAGTCCTTCACATAATCCATTTACTAGACGGCCAGGTAGCCATTGTTTCCTGGCTCCCCTTCGCTATATAACCATCTATAACCGAGAGTGGAGAATAGGATTAGCGGGTGCATAACAACACACATTGCTGCTGTTCACCTTTTTGAGCGTACACTCACTCTGCCATTCCTTGCTCCATGTTCAAGTCTATTCCACCATCTAGCAGGCTTCCATCTTCAGAAAATGATGCCTGGGCCATGCCACGCATTGAGCGATAAGCTGCAGCATACACTATTGCACTGAATACCAAGGATGCCTGGGCGGAAAAATAAAAACATACGTTTTACTAGAGGCTCTGAGCATGAAGACATTGACACAATGAATAACAGACTCAGACATCCCCTGCATTAGATGGATATATGCAGGCATCCTGTATGAGTGCAGCACACATACAGTATACATACTCCAAGCATTTTAGTGTCTCCACGATCTCCCAACATAGTGAACGATTCTAAAGATTAAACGAATGTTAAAAAGACAGTGCTATACCTGGAATTCTCACTGCCCTGCCTAGAAAACAACTTCACAAAATGACAACCCATGCACATTACAGCACCATCCAAGCAAACACTCACAAGGGTAATTATTATAAATATAGCACTCGCACGTTTAATGACTGATCTCCTTACCCAAGTCCAGAAGGTGGAGGAGATGTAAAACAAGCCCAGGTTCACAGCTCCATTCAGCGCCTGTGAAGACAGTGTGGTGCGTGCGTCAGATCATTGTTTAATAAAAGCAATGTAGCAATATTTCAAAGAATGCCATTCCCTCTCCCTAGCACATTTGGACTGGATTCTACTACATGAGAGAAACGGAGCCCTGGTTAACCAATGGTATCCATGGACAAATCTCTAATTACCAGAGCCTTCAAACAGATCATCTTTCAAAATGTAGATCTGTTACTTCTCAGCATTTCATAAAGATACCAGAAGACAAAGTAGGGACTACTTTAATTTAGGTTAAAGCCTGAGACCGACTAAAAAAAAAAAAAAAAAAAAAAAAAAGGAAGGAGCTCCTCTGTCAACTTGGGTTCAATGCCAGCAGCCGTGTGGGATTCAGTCTGTCTACGGAGGGTCTGTCCGCGTGGGATTCAGGCTCTGTCTACGGAGGGTCTGTCCGCGTGGGATTCAGGGTCTGTCTACGGAGGGTCTGTCCGCGTGGGATTCAGGGTCTGTCTACGGAGGGTCTGTCCGCGTGGGATTCAGGGTCTGTCTACGGAGGGTCTGTCCGCGTGGGTTTCAGGGTCTGTCTACGGAGGGTCTGACCACGGAGGGTCTGCCCGCGTGGGATTCAGGCTCGGTCTACGGAGGGTCTGCCCGCGTGGGATTCAGGCTCGGTCTACGGAGGGTCTGCCCGCGTGGGATTCAGGCTCGGTCTACGGAGGGTCTGACCGCGTGGGATTCAGGCTCGGTCTACGGAGGGTCTGACCGCGTGGGATTCAGGCTCGGTCTACGGAGGGTCTGACTGCGTGGGTCTCATGCTCGGTCTACGGAGGGTCTGACTGCGTGGGTCTCATGCTCGGTCTACGGAGGGTCTGTCCACGAGGGATTCAGGCTCTGTCCTGATTAGCTATTGTAGAAAATGAGAAATTGATAGCCAAAGAATGCAAAACCAACTCCAAATTTTTTCCCCCCCAAGTACATCAATTCTAAATAAAAATTAATAATTATTTTTATTCAGTAAATATTGAGAATCCTATGGCAAATAATTGCTGACAAATAACTTGCAGATAACTTGTGATTGGATGACTCGAGACAAGGTGCTACAGCAGTTAACCCCTTAAGGACCAAACTTCTGGAATAAAATGGAATCATGACATGTCACGTGTCCTTAAGGGGTTAAAGAAAATTAATGTAAATAAAGCTCTGGGGACTGACGGCATTCACCCACAAGTATTTAAGGAGCTAAGTGGGGAAATAAGTAAACCTCTGTATTTAATCTTTTGTTTCAGGTATTGTACTGGAGGATTGGAGGAAGGCAGATGTTGTTCCTATATTTAAAAAGGGTTTAAAATCCTTGCCTGGAAATTACAGACCTGCAAGCTTAATTTATGTGACTGGGAAAATATTTGAAGGTCTATTAAAGGATAATATTCAGGACTTCATTGGGAATAACTTTGATTTTAGCAATAGTCAGCATGGTTTTATAAAACATAGGTCATGTCAAACTAACCTAATTGCATTCTACAAAGAAATAAGAAGTATAGATCAGGGTGTTGCAGTGGATGTGACCTACTTGGATTTTGCCAAGGCATTTGATACGGTTCCTCACAATACATTAGTCTCCAAACTAAAAGAAATTGGTCTAGATTAATATTCTTGTTCTTGGGTAGAACATTGGCTTAAGGATACAGTACAACGAGTGGTTACTAATGGTAAATTTTAAAGCTGGACAAAAAGTGGTTAGTGGTGTCCCTCAGGGTTCTGTTTCCATGAAGGTGTACTATTCTAATAACTGGCAAAGAATTATAGCAGTTGGATTTCTACAACTCCTTGGGTGTCTACCTTTTGCCCAACACTGCTCTCACGCATATTAACTGCACAGGGTAATTATCATTGACTGAGAAGTGGGCAGGATTCTGGAACATCATGGCAGAAGCACACAAAGATCGAATTCAAATTTCATTGACCGGTTATTGTTACTCCAGGGAACATTGATAGAATATCACAGAATAACGTTCTTACAGTGGCTCCAAGAATTATGCGCAGGTAAAACGTCAGGGTCTCCTTGTTTTCTTCATATATCTGCTTCTTTCCCTTAGTGGCTGCTTTTCCTTTAGGCTGAGAAGGAAAAAAAGGGTCACAACAGTTTTTAGCTAAATTTATCCAGAATGCACTGCTTGTGGGAACACAATGTATTGTAGGATGTATCATCTTAGCATTGGCCCACTGTCTGCATGTTATATGTATAGCTGCCCAGTGTCCACATATACCAGCTTTGTATAGCTGGAACGTGGAGGATTGAGAGGATGTACCCAAGGTATGTGTGTGATTAGCATTCCTTGAACCTTGAGATGTACCCATTTGTGTAAAATCCTGGCGGTGCCAATGACAGTCTGTACCCATAGTATGTACATGAGTAGCTCTAGACATTACAGGTTTATGGCACGGCGCTGTACCCGCGGTGTAAGAGAGACACACGGCGCTGCACCCGCGGTGTAAGAGAGACACACGGCGCTGCACCCGCGGTATAAGAGAGGCAGACGGCGCTGCACCCGCGGTGTAAGAGAGGCAGACGGCGCTGCACCCGCGGTATAAGAGAGACAGACGGCGCTGCACCCGCGGTATAAGAGAGGCAGACGGCGCTGCACCCGCGGTATAAGAGAGACAGACGGCGCTGCACCCGCGGTGTAAGAGAGGCAGACGGCGCTGCACCCGCGGTGTAAGAGAGACAGACGGCGCTGCACCCGCGGTGTAAGAGAGGCAGACGGCGCTGCACCCGCGGTGTAAGAGAGACAGACGGCGCTGCACCCGCGGTATAAGAGAGGCAGACGGCGCTGCACCCGCGGTGTAAGAGAGGCAGACGGCGCTGCACCCGCGGTATAAGAGAGGCAGACGGGCGCCGCACCAAGGTATGAGAGAGACAGACGGGCGCTGCACCCGGGCGTATAAGAGAGGGCAGACGGGCGCTGCACTGGCGAAAGAGACAGACGGCGCACCAAGGTATAAGAGAGACAGACGGCGCTGCACCAAGGTATAAGAGGCAGATGGGCGCTTGTACCCGGGCGTATAAGAGAGGCAGGACGGCGCACCCGCTGGGTATAAGAGAGGGGCAGACGAAGCGCTGCACCCGCGTGTATAAGAGAGGACGCGCTGCACCTGCTGTATAAGAGAGACACACGCG